AATCCTTCATTTTGGTGACTCTGTCTTATGAATGAAATAATCTGAATTGGGAGGTTGAGGAAAACAGAGAGCTCAGAGTGTGTTAAAAACATTTTCAATCACAAAGAAAAACCTAACAACTTGGCAATATGTTGTGGTGTTTGTTTTAGGTACCAAGAACACACAAGGTAAAAAAATCAGTTCTTCATGTTGTTCCTGGCAGAAGCAACTACTGGCTAATAAAATTTGTTTGTACAGCAGTTACCTTGAGCTAAAAGCCAAGTGCAGGGAAAGACTAGAGGAGAGAAGGGACTATCAGCTAAGTGCTTGGTCACTGCTCTTTGGAACTAGAGAACAAACAGACCTGGGCTAGCATGGGCTGCCTGTAGGTGCTCCATACTGGGGTGTTCAAAAGAGCCATGAAGGTGCTCTGAAACACTTGTAGGCCATGCTGATGGCTCACTTTTTGCTTGTTTGTTTGCCATTTTCCCATCCTAAATACAGAAATGTGGACTCAGAATTATAAAGCAGATTCTATTTACTAAACATTAGTTTGCTCCTTCAGGTGTCACCTTGTTAAGTCTGTTTGCATTTAAAACTAATATGTCTGTACTCAGATGAGGCTTTAGATGACTGTTTAAAGAAGAGATTTGCACCATCTTACCAGCAGTGTGCATGGAATCTGGCACACATATTCATGATTGCTGTTGGGTAGCATTCTTGTACCACCAACAACAAAAAAATCCCAAGTTTATCTGGTTTTCTGGCAATTGCATCTGTGACCACACTCATTCTTCACAGTTCCCCACTCAATGTCCAGATAAACATTACGTGATTAAGAGAACAGGCTTATAAGGAACATGAACTCGAGCAAGTTATTTGAGTCATCCTTGTTTTAGCATCCTAATCTGTGAAAAGGGGACAAAGACAATATGCCACAGGGTTGTTGTGAGGATAGAATGGAAATATATATATTTAGAAGAATGGCATATACATAGTAAACATTAAGTAAATGTTAGCTATTACTATTATTATCATCGTTTTTGTTAGTATTATTATTAGATATTTTACCTTCTTTTCTAGAACTTGAAACTAGTAGAGAAAAGTTAGGGAAATATCTCAGAGGATTAACTTTTTTCCTCTTTGAGTTGTATTTTAATTCCCTCTCACTGATATTAAATAAGTTGTATGTTCAGTAGGGAGAATATCAATAGCTAGGGGGAGAAATAAGAGTTCAAGCCCAAGGAAGAAAGGGGAAAATGAGATGACCATTTGAAATCATTAATTTCAGGTGTCAACGTGACTGAATTAAGGAATATCTAGATATCTGGTAAAATGTGATTTCTGACTGTATCTGTGGAAGTGTTTCTGGAAGAGATTATCATTTGCAGTAGAGGAGTGAGTAAAGAAGATCTGTTCTTACCTAATCTTAGCAGGTACCACCCAATTGGCAGAGTACTAGACAGAACGAAAAGGCAGAGGAAAGTACATTTTCTGTTTCTCTTTCTATCCTGGAGCTGGAGCACTTTCTCCTGCCCTTGGACATCAGAATTCCAGGTTCTTTGGTTTTGAACTTCAGAACTTGCACCAGTTGTGCTTCTCTTCCCTTTTGGGCTCTTGGGCCTTTGGCATTGGCCTGAGAGTTACACTCATTGGCTTCCCTAGTTCACAGGCTTTTGGTCTTGGACTGAGCCATCCACCTGCTTTGCTATTCCCCAGCATGTAGACAACATCTGAGACTTCTCAGCCTCCATACTCACATAAGTCAATTCCCCTAATAAATCTCTCTCTATCTGTTTATCTATCTAGTTATCATCTATCTATTGGGTTGTAAGAAAAGTCACAATGCATTTTTGCATAGAAAAAATATAGAAAAATATGTCATGACTTTCCTGACAATCCAATATCTATGTATGTATCATCTATCTAATGTTTTAGAAAACCTTGACTAATACATCATCTCTAAGCTTCACTCTAAAATAGTAAGCACCATGTTTTATTATATTGTATTGCCATTTACTTTACACTGAGAATTTGAGAATTTTATAACAAGCTCTTGAAAAAAAAATTTTTTTTGAGAGATTTTTGCTATGTGGTACGTATGCTTGCCACAAAGACAGAGAGAAACAGAGAGACAGAAAGCGAGAAATCACCCCCGCCCCCCAGGGGGGATGGCCACACCGCAATCTCTTCTCCTCCATTCTCTTCTCTGGATCTTGGGCACACACTCACACGCACCCAGTGTGAGTTTAAGCCACCAGGTCCGGGACTCGAACCGTGGTCAGCTACTTGGGAGTCCAGCGACATAGCCATTATGCCAACTGCTCATTCCCAAGCTCTTGAAATCTTAATGATTTACCTGAATCCAATCATCTCTATGATGTTGATTATCATGATTATGCTGTTAAATTTATTTTCAACAATGCAAAAGTGGAAAAGTACTTTAGAAACTCATATAAATTGACCATCTTAAGGTATCATGAACTGGTTAAGAACCGGATGGTGCAATAATTCTATCGTGCTCCCTCGGAGTATTATGTAACGTAAGCCTTTCTGGCAGGCAAACCTTAACTGAAAACCCACAGTTGTCAGTTTTCACCCAATGGAGAGAGCTAAAAGCAGAGCTCTCACTTTTGTAGCTAAGAAAGCTCATGGGAATATTTTGATTCATCAAAGAATTTAATAAGGAACTGAAAGTTAAAAAAAATAAAACTTGCAAGGTAAAGTCACTTTAGCTAAGCATTTCTTAGCAAGATTTGGTCTGAGGAGTTAACATGTTAGAAGCAGGCTTTGTATTCAGAATGACCTCGGTACATTAGAGAAATGGACAGATACAAGGTAAGTTAAGCAACATAAATGCAGGGCTTATATTAATAAAGGGAAAGTGCTGTCATTATTTGGAGAAGATAGAAAAATTCTTGAGAGCAATATTGGACCATAACCAGACAAGATTCACAGAGAAAGAAGTTCAATAGCACCAAAAAAGTAATTTTAACAAAAAAAAGGAGCTAGAACTACAATGTAATTCAATTATTATATCCCCCTTTTTTAATGCCAATAGATCATGTGACATAAGAAAGATTTTTGGAAAACAAGCAGAAAAGAAATAGAAATGATTTAATAATGTATTGCAAAATCTTGTGATGAAGGGCTAAAAGAATTAGAAGTATTTACCCTATGAAGGAAAAGGAAATAGACTGGTTAATATGAGCCTTTGTTTTTATTCTGGGGATAGGATCTTTTGCCTCTCATGTTTCTCCCAGGTGGCAAAGAGAAGTGAGGAAAGAGGGATCTAGAAAACTAACACTTACAGGGCTTAAGTAACTTGCCCAAGAACATGTAGCTGGAAAATGTGAGACAAATTTGGGTCTACATTTGCTTGATTCTATTATCTCAACTCTTTCTACTATTGCATATTGCCATTCCATTGGTGTTTTTATTTCGAATTGTTACTAAGCCCTGCAAGTTACTGAATGCTGCTATTTTTAGAGAAGGTGATCAAATTAATATTTTACTACCTTTGAGTCCAATAGTTTCCAGATGCACTACATGGTGGCCAACTCAATTTCAACACCAGCCGAACTTGTGGAGTTCTACAGCTTTGCTTTGAATTAACCTCATAGTCGTTATCTAGTGATGGGCATGACATATTCTGGATACCATTCAACACTTTCAATACATAAGGCAACTGATAAAACTCTGTTCAGTCCAGGTAAGACAAGACATCACATTTTCAAATATCCATTACAATTTTGAACTTCATTTTGTATGTTTTATATCCTCTATTACAACCTGATTGGAAACCTTGCTTCTTATTCTAACAGCTTTGTTGCTGCTCATGGTAGGGCGAGGCTTTTGTATGTATGTGTATTTTAAGGGTAAATGTACTAGAGTAAAAGGAATCAGTAACTGTAGAGTAGAAATAACAATAAGCTTTTAATGAAAATACGCTTAGTTATATTAATGATGAAGAAATAAAAGAGAGAGGGTGGAATAGGTGGTGGTGGGAAGTGGAAAGAAATGAGAGGAGAGAGATTCGGGAGAA